TTGCTCTGGCCCCTACTTTCTTTTTCTTTCTTTCTTTTTTTAATGGGCATGCCTTTAAATAACCCTAAGGAGGGTTATTTAAAAAGCTTAACCTTAGTAGAACAGAGAGATTGTACAAGGGGTAAGCACTTGCCTTGCTTGTAGCTGAGCCCAGTTCGATTCCCAACACTGCATAGGACGATTCCCCCGAGTACCACTAGGAGTGACTCCTGAGCACAGAGCCAGGACTAAGCCCTGGCCACTAGGTATGGTCCAAACACCACGCCCAGTACCTCCCCCACCCCACCCAATAAGAGTAAACTTCCTGATTCATTCCTAGGTTTCAGAACAAGTATTCATTTACACACACCTAACAATGAAAACAACCCCTCCTCAAGGGGTCAAAGAGATAGTACAGTGGGTAGAGTGCTTGCCATATATGCAGTCAACCTAGGTTTAGTCCTGGGCACTGCATGTGGTCTCCCAAGTCCATCCAGGAATAACCCCTGAGCACAGAGCAGGAGTATGACCTGAACACTCCTGGCTGTGCTTCTCCAAAGTTAAAGTTAGAGCACTTGCCTTGCATTGAGGTTCTGGGTTTAATCATTAACATCACACACACACACACACACACACACACACACACACATCATAAACAACCTTAGATAAGAAAATGCACAAACTACCTAAGCAAACTCATCTAAAGCGTTCTTCCCAGAACAGAAATAAACACATTAAACTGTATAGCACAGCAGGTAGGGCGTTTGCCTTACACGCGGCCGACCCGGCAGACCCAGGTTCAATTCCTCCGCCCTTCTCAGAGAGCCCGGCAAGCTACCGAGAGTATCTCGCCCTCACGGCAAAGCCTGGCAAGCTCCCCGTGACGTATTCGATATGCCAAACACAGTAACAACAAGTCTCACGATGGAGACGTTACTGGGCCCGCTCAAGCAAATCAATGAACAACAGGAGGACAGTGACAGTGATGATAACACAAAGAGTAATGTAGTAATGCTCTACTTTGTACCCAATGTTCACCAACATATAGATATAGATATAGATATATAGATATACACCAGAATTCATAGTCACAAAAAAGGTGTTATCGTAACACTGACCTCTAGGAACCCAAAGGAAGTTTTATTTTGCTTTGGGGTCACACCTAGAAATGCTCAGAGCTTACTCCAAGTTTTGTGCTCTGGGATCACTCCTGGCAGCTTCAGGGGATCATTTAGGATGCTGGGAGTCAAACCCGGGCCAGCTGTGTACAAGGCAAGCACTCAAACTACTGTATTATTGCTCAGGCCTCAGTAGAATGGATTTTTTAATGGCTTCAAATATCTGAAATCCCTGAACTAGAGAGACAGAGAGTACAGGGCTTAAGGTACTTTTGTTTATTTGTTTGTCTGAGGACTAACTTAAGCAATGCTCAGGACTAACACCTGGCTCTGCACTCCTGGTGGTGCTCCAGGGATCTTGCCAGGAATAAAACCCAGTCAGCCTCCTGCAAGGTAAACATCCTACCTGCTGAACTAAAGTCTTTTCTTTACATGCAGTTGATCCTGGTTCAATCCCCTGCACTACTTATGGTCCTAGAAGCAACTCCTGAGCACAGAGCTAGGAATAGCTCCTGCGTATAGTGCATTGCTACCTAAAACTCCCCTTCCCCCAAAAACCTAAAACTGATTTCCTGAAATCATTGCATTATTTGGGGGGGACGGGGGTGAGGAGTGGTGGCTCCAAGCAATCCTCAGGGGCACTGGGGCCACTCCCAGTGATTGACAGTCACCCAGGCCAGAAGATAGACAGGCCTTGGGAACCATGTGGTGCCAGGGCTCAAACCAGGGTGAGGAGCAAACCCATGTACTATCTCTCTGGTCCCATGGCACTTTATTTTATCTTTGTCATTTATTTATTTATTTATTTTAAGTTTGGGGGCCACACCCAGTGGTGTTCAATGGCCATTCCAGGCTCAGTGCTCCAGCGAGGGTTTCTCCTAGTGGTGCTCAGGCAACAATGAGGTGCTGGGGGCTGAAGTCAGTTTCCCATGTGCAAAATATGCACTCAACTCTTTGTGCTATATCTCTGTCCCTAAGCTTTATTTTAACGGATGTGAGTAAACTGAGAGACATGGAAAGGGAAAAACGAAAAAGAAAATTTTCATATAGTACCAAATGATACTTTAAAAGGATGAAAGTCCCTCTATCAAAACTACACATCCTTGGGGTTAGAGCGATGATACAGTGGGTAGGGCGTTTGCCTTGTTTATGGCCAATCTGGGTTTGATCTCTGGCATCCCATATGGTACTCCAAGCACCACCAAGAGTGATTCCTGAGTGCAGAGCCCGTAGTGAAAAACCCTGAGCATTGTCAGGTGTAACCCAACACCATCCCTCCAAAAAACCAACTATACATCCATACAATAATATATACATATATTATTGATAACCAACAAATATGTGTGGATACATATTTCTTAAGGATATAAATCAAAAGAGTGACATAAAAACTAACACCCATAAACTAAATATTTTGTTTCTAAATTAATTGCCTTGATCACTGGTCAAATCTACTTTTAATAGTCTCTAGGCATAAGAGAGGCAATAGGAATCTTTTTCCACCTCCAATACTCTATCAGACAAGTGAAAGATCCTGATATGTCTATGACGCGTTTATCCATCAAAATTGGCTACAGTATTTAAGGAAAAACTAGCACTGCACTGTAGCACTGTCCTCCCGTTGTTCATCAATTTGCTCAAGTGGGCACCAGTAACATCTCACAACAAATTGTGAGACTTGTTGTTACTGTTTTTGGCATATGGAATACGTCACGAGAGCTTGCCAGGTTTTGCTGTGAGGGCAAGATACTCTCGGCAGCTTGCCAGGCTCTCCAAGAGGGGTAGAGGAATCGAACCCGGGTTAGCTGCATACACGGCAAACACCCTACCTTCTGTGGTATCGCTCCAGCCCAAGGAAAAATTAAACTGTCATATTAAGAGTAAAGAGTTCTTCTACTCTATGAAGTTTCTCATAATCAGTACTAGTGCTCTCAAATACCAAGGAACAGCCAAAGATACTATTACCTGACAAAAGTGAGTTCGAATGTCCAACACTCTCTAAGATCCATGTGCCCAAGCATAGCAAACTCTCTGGTAGTTAATTGTTAGAAAGACTGGCATAAAGTCTCTGAGGATCCCTACAGAGCTCAGAGTTCCTGCATGCCAGAAGAACCCAGAGACGCAGAATTTTGGGCCTTAACAAGGGATATCTTCTTCAGATTCCTTCTCTATAGGGTGGGAAGGATAAGGTTTCCAAGTCTAGAAACACATAACCAGTTCTCAACGAAGCTATTTGCTATTTTACTGGCCCAGTTCAATTACCTGATAATGCTGGTGGAATGGGTAAGCGGAGGGAAAGTGGGGAGAATAGAAACCAGTGATCATAAAGATCAAATAACACTGGAGTTAAGAGGGCTGAATGCCAGGGTCTGAAATGACATATTATCCCTGTGGAGAGTCTATGTATCAGCAGGAAGTCAGACTAACTTCATTTCGCAAAGATAAAACCTGAGAGTTTGATTTGCTTCTAATTCCCCAGCTTTCTCGGGCCTCACGGACAGGTTTTTTAAGTTCCTGGAAACTCCTGGAACCAAGTGAGAAAAGGTGTCTAAAGGAGTGGGGAAAGCTAGAGGCAGAGTCGGGAGAGGAATCCCACTCCCCCTCTTAAGGAGAATGTTCTGAGAATGTTCTAATCCAGGGAACTCGGGGATCCCCAGAAAAGGAAGTAGCTGAATTCCACAAGACCGCTCTCCCTACCTTCTTGTTGTTCTTGTTATAGCCAAAAGACGAAATCCCAGGCCTGGAGGTCACTGATAGCAGCATTTTCCCCCTTTACTGTGGAGTTGAGAGAAGAGGCAGGGGAAAGGGAGGGGGCAAGTATGAGACCCAGAGAGGGAGGGAGAGGGAGAGTGTGTGTGAGAGAGAAAGTGAGTGTGTGAGTGAAAGAGGAGGGGGAGAAGGAAAGGGAGAAGAGGAATGGGGAGGAAGGAAGAAGGGGAGGAGAAAGGGGGGAGAAAAGGACTCAGGAGAGAGTAGGGGTGGGGGGGGAGTAGAGCCCAAGCTGGGCTGCCTCTTTGCGTCACTGAGGAAAGTTAACCCAGAGTCTGAAGAGGAACTTCCTCTGGGTCCTAATGCCCAATATGTTATCCACCTCGCCCCCTTCCGCAACCCCACCCACCCCATCCCAGGTTCAGTAGCTGAAACTAGTGGGGAAGTTCCTTAAATTCAACTCTTTCAACCCCACCTGCGCCTCTGCTAACACTGATTCTGATTCTCATGAAAAGACAAAAGCAATTTTTCCCTTTTAGATCTCAGGATATAAGACTTGAAGCTTGATTTTTGTTTTGTTTTGCTTTGGTGTGGGGGCAGGGGAGGGCATACCCGGCTATGCTCAGGGCTTACTCCTGGTTCTATGCTCGGGGATCACCCCTTGAGGCTCAGCTTGATTTTAAAGAGGTTACTGAGCCTCTTTAAAAGCCCTGGAGAACTTGTGGAAAAAAGGAGAGAAAAACATATTGAGAAAGATTATGTGAGATGAGCTGACTCCCCTCGTTTATGTTTACAGTGACCAGAATGCACAAAGAAAGAAGAGACAAGCTTCCAAAGAGCAAGACAAGCAAACAGAATATTGGAAACAACTAGATTCAGATCCTTGCATAGCTCTGTTTCTCTTGGGAATGGCGGCTGATTTCTCACTGCTTTCAGATTCCCTTAGGTATGACTTCATTCTTTAGGAATTATCAAACTGAACCATGTGCTAAAACTTGAGGTTTCTTCTGTACTACCGCCCCCCACACACACACCAGCTTTACTGAAATATAATTGTCTAATGGTTACTCTAACAATTATAAGCTATTTTAGTTATTTTTTTAATGCACCCTATCCGCTGTGCTATCTCTCCAGACCCATCTTAATGAGTCTTTATCACATGCTTTTCAAGGCTCATGAAGGTTAGTTACTCACCAAATTTGAAATTTATGCCTAAACTGAAGCTCACCAAGTTGAGGTGCTTGTTTCAAGTTGTCATTGAGCTATAGGGGAAAAAAGATCAAAAAACATATGAGAAAAAATACAAAAAAGAATATAAATGTTGGATCAAGAACCTAATGTGATAACAATCAGCTCTAGGTACAGAAGAGATAGTGGGGGGATGGGGTGGGGTAGGGTTTTTGCCTTGCTTGTGGCTAATCTGGGTTCGATCTCCGGTGTCCCATATGGTCTTCTACCCCTGCTAGGAATAATTCCCAAATGCAGAGCCAGGAGTAACCCCTGTTCATTGCCAGGCATGCCCCAAACAAAATAAAACAAATATAACAACATCAAAAAAAATCAACAATCAGCTCTAATAGTTTCAAAAGAATATAGATGCTGCAAATAGAGCTCTGACAGAGTGCATGCTCTGGATTGGATCCCAGCGCACATTCATAGGCATACACATGTGTATGCACACACATACTCATCTCCCCTTCCCCCCAACACACACACACACCACACAAAAGAAATTTGTAGGAAAACAAAAACTTAAGAATGATACCCACTAACTCCTCTGAATCCAAGTAGAACAGGATGTAGAATCCTTCAAATTCCTTCTTTAGTCCACCTTGTTGACTTCACGGATATTCCCTTCAGACATAAATTAACTATCTGCTTTCCAATACCACAAAGCCCAAAGCCTCCCGTAAAAGAAGTTCCAGTCTCTGGTCTAGTTATCCTATCACCTTTTTGCTATGGGACAGACAGTACTAACATTCTACAGAGTGAAAACACATATGTACCACACCCCCAATCTCTGACTTTCATTTCCAATAAAACAGGAAGTGCCTGTTCAGCTCAAGGGACACAGGAAGGGTGGGAACTGCCTCAATGTGGGAATTGCAACTGAGACTGAAAGTACAGCAACCAAACGCAGTAAATTAATGCATAAAGGTATCACTCACTGATAATACACACACACACACACACACACACACACACACACACACACTTGTTTGTTTGCAGTTTCAGGGATTTAACTCAGGGTCCCTCTCACACATGCAAGGCAAGTACCCTATAGCTGAACAACATCCACGATGTGACACCCCCCAAAATTTTAACTCCCTTTTCTGTTCTCAGAAATTCTCATTCATCTGTATGCTGAGTATTCTTGTCATTATGACCCTTACTTGATGTCATCTTTCTCAGCCTAGCAACATGGCACAGACACCTTTGTCTTTGTTTTCAGTTTTCAAATGTTTATTTTTCTCAGATTTTTATTTATGTAATTTTGTTGCTTTGGGACTAGTGGTACTCAATGTTCACTCCTGACTCTGCTCAGAGATCACTCTGGTAGGGCCTCAGTAGGGGTGTGTGGGTGTAGGGAGGACTATATGTGGTGCCAGGAATCACACCCAGGTTGGCCACATGCAAGACTGTACTATTTGGCCCCTATTTTGATATATATATATATATATAAAAGATGAAATATGAGAATAAAAAATAAATAAAATAAAAGATGGAGTGTATTCTCATTTGCAATTCAAAATAGTCACCTCAGTTTACTATTTGTGTGTGTATGTGTATTTACTTTTATTGTATATTTTTCTAAATTCTTTGGCACAATATCCTGGGGCTTGCAGACTGCCATGATAGATGCCAGGAGAGAACTTGTTTTGTCTTGTTCTGTTTGGGGGGTAGTTTGGACCACACCTGGTGATTCTCTGAGGAACCATGTGCAGTATCAGGGATCAAATCAGGGTTGGCCACTTGCAGGACAAGCATCTTATCACCTACACCACTACATTATCTCTCCAGCCCCCAAGACATATGTTTTGTTCTGCAATTCTGAGCATTTGAACGTGAGTCTGAATGGTTCGGGGCTTTTTATTTATTTATTTATTAACTCTTCTGAATGCTACATTCCTTTCTTTGCTTCTTCCCTTCCTTTTTTCTTTTTTGGGGGGAGGGGCTTTTTGGATCACAGCCAATGATGCTCATGGGTCACTCCTGGTTCTGTACTCAGGAATTACTCCTGGCAGTGCTCAGGGGATCATATGGGATGCTGGAGATTGAACCCAGGTCAGCCACATGCAAGGCAAATCCCCTACCTGCTGTACTATTGCTCCGGCTCCCTCTTTCCTTCCTTTCTTCTTGTTAAAATGACCAGGAATCACATATACACAACTGTGGTTTCTTGCACATTTAGTTGTGGTATTCTCTGTGAGTTGCTTATTAGGTTGCAGTGCACACATACTCAACCACAGTACCTCAGTTGAGGTGCTCATGCACATTCTTGCTGTAGTGCTCGCTGGAGCTCACTGTGGTACTCATGTATGTGCTTGCCAGTAATTACACTCCTGGCTGCAGAGCTTGTACATCTCTTTCACTGCAGCATCACCAGGAGTTGCACTCTTTAGCTTTAGCTTTGATGTTCGCATCCACATTTCTGGTATTGCTAGAAATGAGCTGTGGTGTTGGGAAAACACAAACAACAGAATTGCCAGGATTGCATTCAGCAAATGTGATGATCTTCGGAATCAAACCCATGGACTTGTTTTCAGGGCAGGCACTTCAGCCACTGAGTCATCTCAGGGTCCAAAGTCTTCAGTCTTTATTTGTAACAGTTGTATGAAAAACCTTAATCTAGGGCCATTTAGGGCCAGAGATATAGCTCAAAGGGCTGTAGTACATGCCTTGCATGCTGGAACCCTGAGGTCCATTCCCACCATCACATGATTCTCTGAGCCCCACAAAACACCAAGCCAGGAGTGTTCCCACATACCGCTAGATGAAGAAGGAAAGGAAAGAAGGGAGAAAAGGAGGGAAGGAAGGAGAGAGAAAAAGAGAGGGAGGGAGAGAGAGAGACTTCATTTTAAAGGCCTAATTTATAATAGGACTTACTTAGAAATGGTAATCAACCTAATTTTTTAAATTTTATTTTATTTTTATGAAGTTATTTGCAATAGTTCATTACAGATAATATTCAAACACCAATCCCACCACCATGCACCTTCCCACCACCACAAGAGGAAAGTGTGTGAAGATTGTTGTATTTCATCCTGGAGCCATTTAAACCCTTGTATAAGAGATTACAAGCATGTATGTTAAACCCAAACAAATGTGTGCTACTTTTGGTACATCAGTGGGCTAGAGTATAAGAGGTTGCAAGGCCACATTTGCAGTCACTCTCCAGGACATTCTGTGTCCCTCTCTTCTGGGAGCTTTATTTCATAGTCTTAGGATCATGGCCATTAATGAGATTATATGACATGGAGGGGGGCGGGGGACGGGGGGGCAGTTTGTGGGTGTGACTACCAAGCTACTGGAAAACTGGGGAGCTGGGGGGAAGAAGCCCAATCCCATTTTGAGCAAGCTTGGAGATCTCAGTCATGGGTCCCGCACACCTGGGTTTCTCTGCAGGTTCCCTCATAGGTGAGGCTCGCCTGAGCCTGTGGAGTGCAGCTTTGAGAATGGCTGTGGTTGGGTTCTGGAGGTTTTCAGCTGCTGGGGTTCTGCTGGGGTGGGGAGGGAGCCTCAACCTGCCCCACTCCGAGTTGCCCTGGTGAAAACAGCCTGGCACGGGATCAGGCATTCTAACTAATTTTTTTTTTAATTCTGATATTCTCAGGCCAGATACGTGGTTCAAGAGGTAGAGCTCATGCCTTGCAGCCTTAAGTTTGATGCTCAGCACTACTTGGCTCCCACATGCCCATCCCCGGTACTGCTGGGGGTAGCCTTGAATCAGAGAGATAGGACAGGGGTGAAGGCTCTTGCCTTGCACATGGTCAACCCCTTTTGATCTCCAGTACTCTATATGGTCCCCACAGCATCACTAGGAGTGATTCCTGAGTATAGAGTCATCCGGAAGCCCTGAGCCCTACTGGTATGCCCCCACCCCCTGAAACACACAATAAAAATGTTCTCAATGTATTGTATTCTCTTACTGCATTACTTTATGTTCAATGTTGTTTTTAAATTCAAAATAGTTTAAACTGTGAGCTTTGGAGAGAAGCAAACTTGAGTTCAAAACCTGACGCCATAATTAGTTAGTATTTACCAGACTTTAAATTCATTTGCAAAACAGAGATAATAACTTCTCATCAGCCTTCAGGATCAAATAAATAAAAGTTCTAATCTAGTCTTGTCACTGACAATGTTGAGTGAGTGGTAGTGGGAAAATTACCTCAGACTTGTTGAATCTTTTCTAGTTTGTGAAACAGAGTAAATAAAAAGTATCTCCTTCCTAAAATTGTAGTAAAATGAGATAATAAGCCTTTAGGAAGAGTGAAGGCTTGGTAAACGTTAAATGAATATCCACTGTAATTAATACACATTTCTTAGCATGTACCTACTGGGGATTATATAACCTGAAATTGATGATCTTAAGTCAACATTTCTAGAAACTAGTATTTTAGTTACATTAAAAGATTTTACTAGGACTTGGGCCGGAGCCATAGTACAGCAGGTAGGGCACTTACCTTGCACTGACTGACCTTAGTCTGATCCTGGCATGACATATAGTCTTGATCCCTGCCCACAGTGATCCCAAAGCTGGAGCCAGGAGCAAGCCCTGAACACTGCAGGGGTGTGGTCCAAAAACAAACAAACAGAAGATTATACTAAGACTAGGCGGATAAATTGCATGGCTGGGAATAATAGATAAGAAGGATCTGGAGATGGCTCAGTGTCAAAAGCTCCTGTCCAGCCAGTATTCAATTCCCAGTGCAGCCACAGGAGCCTAACAGCAGGTGTCCCAGTCTGCTCCTTGGGACAGTGCTGGGACAGTATGTGTAATCTACACGGCTAGGCAGCCAGGTGTATCTGAGCACCATAACTAGCATGCAACCCCCGTGGGTAACAAAACCAAGAGTTGTAGACAACTGATCATGCCAACAACAATAAAGGGAAGGGGCTGTGGTGGGGGTGGGGGTTATGGGCTGCAGAGGGGCAGGGGATTACTGGATAAGAAATTTCATGGGTGTTTGATCATTGTGTGATTGTAACTCAAACATGAAAGCTTGTAACTGCATCTCACAATGATTTAATCTAAAAAGTTTCATGAATCATCTAATCAAAGTTCTTTTGTTTCTCTACCTCCCATAAGCAAGCAATCTAATTATATGTAGATTAGTTTCATAACTTTAACCCTCAGATATTGACAGAAAATCTATTTTCTCTAGAAAAAAAGTAATGTATAATTAGGCATAGAATATATGTCACTCAGCTCTCATTTCCCATAGTCTTACTGCTCTAAGAAATAGATCCAAGGGGAAAGTAGGATTTTCACACATACTAAGATTTTGGGGCGGGGGGGACACACCCAGCAGTGCGCAGGGCTTAGTCCTGGCTCCACACTCAGGGATCATTCCTGGCAAGCTTGAGGAACCATATGGGATGCCAGGGATAGAACTTGGGCCAATTTTATACAAGACAGAAGCACTACCTACTGTACTATCTCTTTGGTCCCATACTAAGATTTAATGTATATTTCTACTCCCAAAACAGTATCTGAAAAAAGGGAGATAAACAACCAATTAAATAAACTTGGGTGGGGTTTGGGTCATACCCAGTGGTACTCAAGGCTTACTCCTGGCTCTGTGCTCAAGGACCTAACCTTATGGAGGTTGGGGATTGAACCTGGGTCAGTTGTGTTCAAGGCAAGCACTCTGCCTATTGTACTAGCTCTCCAGCAACAAGAAATTTAATTTTTTGTAGGAATA